TATTTGCCCAGGGCCCACCAGAGCCTTGAATCGGCCCTGCCTGTGGGGCATCAGACTCCCAACCTACACCACTGAGCTGTCCAGCAGTTCATATAAGTACTCAAGCATGGCAGCATCCTGGAACTGTGCAGCTTGCCCAAGGCTACCCAGGCCGGCTTTTCTCCCTGGAGACACCAGTAGGGAATCAAACTCCCAAACTCTGGCTCTGCTGTCAGAGGTCTCAATTCAGACCTCCATGAAGCCCTGGTTATAGCAAAGTGGTGAATGGGTTTCAGGGGCCAGATTTACACTCACAGGGTCCACTATGGGCTGGTCCACCCTTGAAAGTGGGGCTGAAAAGAGAAAATTGATGCTGATCCACTCTCAGTTGACGCCTTTATAGAGCCAAACTCTTCTTCCTGGACGTTTCCAGACATGGTGAATGAGCTTTGGGGGTCAATTATTATTATTTTTTTCTGGCAAGGAGAATGGAGTGTCTTAAAAAAAAAAAGCCAAGGGAGGGGTGCATATGGCCTACGGGCCACACTGCACTCACCTTTGTGCGAGCTCTGTCTGAATGCATGCTCGGGTGCCACTTTTCTTCTAATTTTCTCTCTTGCACAGAATATTCACATACCTCCGAGCTCTCTCTTTTCACTGCTCCGCTCAGCTTGCTCAGGTCTAATGCGCAGCGCATGCTTGCTCCTTCCGCAGAAGCAGTCATAGAGAAACTGCTGTGTGGTCACTTCTGCCTTCCTGAAGCTGAAGCTATTTCAGCAGCTGCCGTGTGGAAACAGTCACATTTTAGTAATAACAGAAAGGAAGGGGAGTATTTAAAGCAGCCGCCTGCTTTTATGCACTCAGCCTGCGCTTGATTCCAACCTCACTGTGGTCGGCTTCAAATGGCTTACTTGACAATCGACAGTTTGGTTTCTGCTACAAGATACATTTAGGACTTGATGGAGTTAGTGCAGTAAATGCACTCAGCTGGGAGCAAAGCATCACTCTTAGATCCTTTTGTGTTCCTCTTAGGAGGAAAATGCCTTTTCGCAAATTAGGCAGATGGATACCAGTGGGGTAGATTTTGAGGTGCCCATCACAAAGGTCCTTGTAACCACTGCTTCCTCCAGGGAGGGTCCAGAAATGGCCACAGCGTGGTCGGTCCTTGCTATGGAGAACGTCTTAGGACTTTGATCCTGAGCACCCTGACTCCGATTCGCCACTGACAAGACACATCACAGAAGTCTGCCCTGATTTAAAACACTAAAATTATCACTAAATCCATCTTATATTATTTCTCCCTGCCTAAATCAAACATTAGACACTACATTAATGCCTTCTTCTTCTTCTTCTTGACTACTTGTTCCTTTGCACCCTCCTCCATCACTCTGGTCGTGGCGTCCATGAGTATTCCACCAATAGTTCCAGATTGCTGCTACTTCTCCTCCTCCTCCTCTTGCTCAGGAGTAGTCGCCGGATCTTCCTTTCCATCTGCCTTTACTGATTCTTCCTCTGGTTAGTTGTGATCCAACATGTTCCACTGGCTGAGCAAGTCCACACCTTGCCCCATCCAAGTTATTGTACAATACTTCACTTTGTAAAATAGGTAAAGGTTCCCCTTGTTGTGTCTGACTCTAGAGCGTGGCGCTCATCCCCGTTTCCAAGCCATAGAGCCAGCGTTTGTCCGTAGACAGTTTCCGCAGTCACGGGGCCAGCATGACTAGACACAGAATGCCGTTACCTTCCCATTGAGGTGGTACCTATTTATCTACTCACATTTTAGCATCCTTTCGAAAGTGGGTATAGACATGGTCTATTCGTATAGTAGCACCAGAGGTGCCATGGAGGCCCATTCCCTCCTCCTAGAACCGGCTGGTCCACTCACCATTCGCAGCATGGTGCTCAGCTCCGTTTTTGTTGCACCTATCACGGATGGAGCATGGCCAGCTTTTCCTCGCCTTCCCTTGCAGCCAACCACTTTGGCACGGCAGTAGAACGGGGAGTTCCCCCACTCAGCTGATGAGCGGTCAGCTGCCCGGGGAGGCAGGGAAGAGCCATCTGGGCTCTTGTGATTGGCGCAAAAATGACAACACTGCCAAGCGCTGAGCTGCAAACAGAGAGTGGGAGGAGGGAATGGGCTTATGTGGCACCTCTGGTGCCACTTTTTGTATCCCCTAGGATAGGAATACGAATAGCCCATGTCTAGCTGGTTATCCTCAGTTATATTGTATACCATTCTTGATGGGCACTATTTTCACGGGGTGCACCACTGGGAGACACATCACAGGATTTTGCCCTGATGCAAAGATGCCTCTTTCACACGGGTGGAGAAGCTGGTAAAAAGACAGAACAAGAATTGAGGGCTTGGAAAAGTTATTTTGGACTATAATTCCCAGAAACCTGCAGCCAACAGGAGAGCTGGATTATTCTGAGAGTGTAGCTCCAATAATCTTTGCTTCCTCTGCACTTTTTTGCCTAAGAAAAAGGAAAATAAATGGTGTCAAACGGGGAAGGAAGTGGATTTTTCAGGAGTGGGAAACGGGTGTAGGGGATTCCCGGGACAGGAAGCGCTGAAGAGGCGGTTAAGGGTAGGAACTCTACCTCCTGCTCTGAACAAAGAAAGCAGGTTTGAAGTCATCCAAGTAGGACAAAGGTCCCCAAAGAGATCAGGGCTTCCTAATTTTGCTTCCAGATGGCATAGAATGAAGCTGTATCCTTGAAACTTGCTTTTCTCTTCCGGAATTTTTTTTTTTCAGATCCAAAAGAAAAAAACCTTGATAGAGCCAGTTCCCTACTGGATCTTTATCTCTGGAGTATTATAATTTTTTAAAAGCTAATTGCAGCAATTGGTTGGATAGCTTTGGTGAGTTAGGTATCTGGTTGGGAGTTTGATCCTCCTCTATGACTCCATGGAGAAGAGCCAGCCTGTGTGGCCTTGGGCACGCTGCTGAGTCTCAGGATGCGCCCAGAAAAAAAGAGAAGAGGAAACCACTTCTGAAAATGCTTTGCCTAGAAAATCTTGAAAACGGTTGCCATAAGTCAGAATTGTCTTGAAGGCCCCTATTATTGTCGGTTGCCATAAGTCAGAATTGTCTTGAAGACACACGATTATTGTTCCTTACATCTTAGCTATAGCATACATCTCCAGCTCTGGATGGAGCCACTCCTCCTTCAAAGACGAACACCCATAAACTAGGCCATCACCGGCATGCAAGGGCATCTATTGCTTATCGACCAATGCCTCTGTGTGACTCAAGGCAAACTCCTAAGCCGCATTACTTTCTTCTCCTCTGCTAATCTCTAAAGGCATCTAAAAGCCTGTTGCAAAACTGAGCACTTCCTCCCTGCATGACACCCAAAAGGCAGGCTTGTGACTCACGACGATGAGTGGCTTCATCCTTTTCTGCCTAGCCATATATGGCCTTTTCTTTCTTCCTTTTTGCCAAGAGTTCAACGCTCCGCTAGAATTCGGGGGGGGGGGGGGGGGAGAGAAAGACAGACAAGAGACATGAACTGGGTGGGTCACAGCCATGCATAAAGGAAAACCACAGGAGATGACTTAGTGAGACAGATCCGGTTAGCTGGGTAAGGGCCTGCCTTTTATGGTAAAAAATAAATTTATGGAGTTCAGATAGACAAAAAGGGTCGGTATCCATCGGCAGCGGGATGGTCCAGTAGCTTGGTGCAAAAGCACAGTAGCGCAGGTTTTGACGAGGTTTGCACTGACACTGACACCAGATGGATCTTTTAAAAAAGAAAACCCAACAACCTCTTGGCTGATTGTGGGAGATGCGCAGTGCAATCCATGTCATTCCAGTAAACCCTGGGGCTTGTTCTTAAGCAAGCATGCACTGGCTTGTCACTTTAGTTGCGGTCTATCTACACACAAATCAAACAACACAACTGGAGCAAATACATCGTTCTTAGAAAAAGCTTAGATAACTGCTGGATAGCTCAGTGGTTTAGGTATGTGGCTATGGAACCAGAGGTGTTGGGAGTTCGATTCCCAACTGGGCCTCCTTGCCAGGGGCTGGACTGGGGTCCCCCCCAGCTCTGCCATTCTAAGGTTATTATTATTATGTGTGTCCTTCTGTGCATCACAGCCGATGACACCTTTGTTACACTTGTGCCTGCCCTTTCCTCAAGGCAGTTTAGGTTTGGACCAGGATCAATCCTACCATAAAGCAGTGAGAGTCAACTGCCTCAGGTCCCACTTTCTGGGAGGTAGCAACCCTGGCAGGCCCTTAGCTCTTTCTCTCAAGCCTCCAGCCATTTCACTGGCTGGCTGTTGCCCTGAGGACACAGTCCTTTAACCACTGCCTAATTAGGGAATGTTACTCTCTGGGACTACAATTCCCAGAATCCCCCAGGGGGCATGATCACTGGCTGTGGAATTCTGAGAGTTCTACTCCAAAAAGTTACTTTTCCAAGATCTGAGTTGCCTGGTGGTTAAGAACAGCCTATTGATGTTTCATCACTGGGGTGCAGCAGACCCATCTATCTGCAAAGTGGGGTGTCTGATAAATAGTTGTAGAGTTGGATTTATTAATGGAAAAAGGCAGTGTGCATGGGAGCGGCAGAAGGAGGACTTTTTTGGGAATGGAGAACAGGAGCATGTTGCTTGCTGGTAGGGTGCTTAGCTTTGAAAATAAAACAATATCTCAGTCTAAGTCTCACTCCCATGCTCTCTCTCTTCTCCAAGGAAAATAAAAATTGCAATACACACTTTTCTGGGAGTGAGCCCCCATTACACTTGGTTGGGCTTTAACGTCAAAGCAGGCAAAATACCGCCAGCGACTTCGTTAGACATCGGCTACAGAATTTCTCCTACAGAGATCTCCCCTTTTCAAAAGTAAAAATCGAAAGGGTAAGAGCTAAGGAAGAACTAAATACACAATGAAAGGGTTCAACAACTGCTGGAGTGAGCTGCTCAGTGGCTGTGATAAACACCCTAGTGCCACCTCGTGGATATGAGATCAAGGAGCCCCAAAGTCCTGACGTAAAAGCTTTCTCCTCCATGGCCTGGATGCGTGCAGTCGGCTTGAAGTGGAGCTCTGCTTGAACACCATCCAGAAACTGCAGGCAATGCAGAATGCTGCAAGCAAAGTAAGCAATGAGAACAATTACAGTATCTATAGTGCTAGTAGCAAATGTGTCAAATCTTTGGGTTATGGAGATTCATGATGTGGCAGGGCAGAATTCGACCAAGAATATGACTATGAAAGACCTGCTACTTGTAATTCATTTCTCCTCCCCAAAATAAAGTTCTAACGATGGGTGGGTGGGGGGAGAGAGAGAGAAATTGAGATAGGGGAGATCAACCTTAGTTGGCACTACTCCCCCCTACACACAAAAGCCTGCACTTTGTATGGGAGAAGCATTTAAAGGAGAAAAGGGTATATTTACTTACAATAGCCATCAGAAGTTACAATCAGAAAAAGGGGGAGGGAGAAGAGACACCCTTTATGCCTCATATACATGGTCGGCTCTTAGTGGGAGAAAATGGAGAGACAAGACAAGGGAAGCTTAAGAGCCAAAGAGGAAAAGGGAGCAGGGAAAAGTCTCCATCAACTGAGTCAGTGGCAAAGCACCATCGCTTTGGGCTGTAAACCCCTCTCACGTCCACACCCGGTGTGAGTGCATGCATGGCTGTTGTTTTCCCCCAACAGATCGCACGCCTTGTGCGTTAGTCGGGCTGGGGAAAAGATTACTGCTCCCACTTGCAAGTCCTATTTTTATTTTTATTTTTATGATAAGAAAGGCGATTACTTGGAGCAGGCAGGAATCGAACCCTCGATTTCTTATTACACTGTTCCATCTCGGCTTCCCTTCGCTACAACCGCTCCCATTGGCCACGGCGACCAAAGTGGGCGGGCCAATTAGGCCATTGTGGATGCCCGTGGGAAAAGGACGGTGACGTCAAGCTACGCCAGTCTACCAAAGAGAGGAAGATATAGACCGATCAATCACGGGCTGAGGCATCCCTCGGTTCTTCCGCGCTCCCCTTCCAATCCCCAAATATAGCGAGCCATAGAGATGCAGGCTGCCTGGAGCAGCACGGCGCCCGTACCGGAAACACGTACCTAGGGGTCGCTCTTTCTTCTTTAAAAAGGCCTCTCTATCCACCCAGGCGGTCGGACTTCACAAGCACGAGAGGACAGGCGGGGGGGGATGATGTCACGCTCAGAACCCGCCTCGGTGGGAAGACCGGCGTTGCTATTGGTTGAGCGCGCTGTCGGCCCAGCGGGTGACGGGGCCGCGCCGTC